GCAGCGTGGGGAGGGAGGGGCAGTGGTGGTGGCAGCTCCTCACCTTTTCATTTGAAAGCGAAGCGAACTTGATATACTTTTTAAAAAATTCACTGGAATCTATTTGTTCTTTTGTTTTTATTCTGTTTTATTTCAGGAGTTGATTACATTAGGGGTGAGGGGTCAAATTATCCCCGAAAATTTGACACTGCTCCTGGTACGAGAAATCCAGGTGCACTAATTGCTCCCGGATCTCCTTATCTTATTTTAACTTTTCCAATAAGTTGGAGTTTTATCTGTGGATATGTCATTGTCTCGTTCCTCCCCGCCCCATCTCTTTCCATCTCTGTTTTGTTCACTTACCAAATATTTGTCCGTCCTTGCCTGTGCTTTTACTAATGCTGGTCCCCCCTCCCCGCACCATCCCCTTCCCCACCTGACTAGTGAGGGAGGGAGGGGGTGTACAGGCGGTTGTTGGAGGGTGGGGCAGGAACATGGGGTGGCTTTTCTGCCCCATTGGACTGTACCTGCCATGAGTCAGGACTGTGCCACGTGAATACCCTGTTTCCCCGATAATAAGAACTAACCTGATAATAAGCTCTAGTATAAATTTTTCAGGATGCTCGTCATATAAGTGAAACCCCCACCCTCCACCCTTGTGCAACCACCAGAAGATGATGACAGGACTGTATTTGAATAAATGTAGATGGTTGTACATGGGGAAAAAAATAAAACATCCCCTGAAAATAAGCCCTACTGCATTTTTTGGAGCAAAAATTAATATAAGACCCTGTTTTATTTTCGGGGAAACATGGTATGATGGAAGGATCTCTGGATTCCCCTTCCTGGGTTAGATGAGGAAGGGAGGAAGGGCTTCACTAGAAAGAGAGCCGGGGCTGTCTTAAGGCCCTGAAGTGTCGCCCCCCTGGAGGGCTTGTGCACGCTGTTGTGCGTGTGTCTGTACACATGCACCCCCACACTGCAGCCTGCTTGGTATGAGCCCAACAGGGAGAGGGAACTTGGGGCTCTCTAGCGCAACCGTTTTCAGCTGTGGGTCCCCCAATGTTCTTGGACCACAACTCCCAGAAGCCTTCATCGCTCACTGTGCTGGCCAGGACTTCTGGGAGTTGTAGTCCAAGGCCAACTGGAGGCCCAAGCTTGTGAAGCACTGCTCTAGGTGTCCCCTCCGGCTCCCCTTGTCACCGGTTCCCCTCACTAGGGCTGTTCAGGATTGCCGTCCAACAACCTCTGGGCAATGTAGGTGGACCCTTTCCGATCTCGCACCTTCCTGATCATCTGGAATTACAACCCCCATCATGCTTTTCCCAGCCTCAGACTCTTTCTTCCCTGTGCCCTTTCCATCGCTGGCTGGATAGCTCAGCGGGTGGGAGGCTGAGGCTGGGAGTTGGGCTACCCCCCCCCACGCCTCCTTGTGAATAGAGCCTTTGAGCCCTCCGTTCCACCTCTCACATAAACGGAGGGGAAACATATTTTTTCGGGTGGGCTGGCAAGACCGACGGCCGCTTTGCTGGGTTAAGACCCCGTTCCGAACCTGTGTTTGCTTTTTGCATAGGGAGGGAATAGACCTTCCCTGATGGAGGAGGGACATAAATTTCTAGCACGTTGTCTTGGGCTCAGGTAGGGTCTCCTGTATTCAGCCATTTTCTTGCCTTCGTTGCCCTTGGCTTCAAACGTCTAAAACGCGCCTCTCCCAGGCTGGAGGGGGCAGCCATCTGCCTGCAGCCTTTGTGGCCTGGCATTACCGGTGGGTGTCTCGTCCCTCTCTCAAGTCCCTCTGTTGGGGGGGGAGGCTTTATTTGACACTGGGCTTTGGTGCCATCAAGAGCTCCTCCAAACCTCAGCAGAGCCGAAAGGAACTCTTGAGGTCTTCTCCTGTCTGTGGCCGTAGTCATCCCCGCAGGGGTGGAGGGAGCATCGAGGTATGGCCTGTGAGCTCATTCACTGCAGCTCACCTCCTGTTGGCTTCAACTTTTGGAGGGATCTCGCTCATGCCAGCTTTGCGGAAGTGAAGCCTCGGCAGGGAATTAAGGTGATGGTTAGGAACTTGGCCACTGCTTGCTAAAAGCCTACAAGGGAGTAACCTAATTAATTGGCTGTGTGTGGTTTTGCGTGTGAGCTGCCTCCCCCTTTCCTCTACCCTTGCCCTTTCTGTGAATTGATCCGTGCCTGGGCTTTTAAAAACAAAATAACAGACTATTTAGAGAAACTAGGAATGGTAGAGGAGGGAAGGGCGTCTGTGCGTATAGTCTCTCTCTCTCTCTCTTTTTTTTAAAGGCCCAGGGTCATTTTATGTGGCTCCCTACCCCCTCTCCTGCCTCTTCTCCTCGGCCTTGAAATGAACTTCCAGGACCGTTCAAAGCGCTTTTGAGCACTTGGGAATAAAATACAGATCTCTGTAAACTTTCAGGCAACTGGGCATTTAGATCAAAACAAACCTTTCCCAAGATTTCCTCTTACATGAGCAGGAAATGGAAGCGATTTGGTTGAGCTTCCCCCCCCCCCACTTGCATTTGGTCGTAATTGAAGTGGGGTGTGTGTGGAATATGAGAAACTGTTCTTTTGCCTCCGTTTAGAGGTCCGGAAAGCCAAATTCGGCCGTAGAAAGAGGAGATAGCTTGATGTGTGGAATATGAGAAACTGTTCTCCTTTAGCCCCGGGTTAAGAGGTCCGGAAAGCCGAATTCGGCCGTAGAAAGAGGAGATAGCTTGCAGGAAGCGAGGTGTGACTTCCTCTGCACACCTTTGTGCAAAAGTAAATATAATAGACGGCCCCTGCCCTCCACAAGGGTTTGGTTGAAAGCCTCCCGTGGATGCTGAAAAGCACAGATAATAGCGAACGCTATTATAATAGCGGCACTGTACATATCGTGGTCTCTGGTTCCCTGTAGTGGCCAGTTCGGGTAATGGCATTGGGTAAATCTGGATTTCTGGGATTTTTCTTTTAATAGTTTTAGTATTTTCATCCAGCGGGTAAGTGAAACTGCGGATAAGTGAACCTGCAGAATTCGGGGGTCCTACAGATAAATTAGACCCTCCTCTGTCAAGGGAGTCCCTGTTTTTTTGGGCAGGGACTCCTGGTAGGCAGGGATTTGGGCGACTGCCGCCAAGACAGAGCAATGAGTAGGCCTGGTCTAGTCCTTGGGGGATCCCGGCATGATGCAACCAAGGGGGCGGGGAAGTTGATTCAATTTGGAGGAGGCCTTCCGGCCCCTCTTCCTTCAAAGGAAGTGAATTTCAATGTCAGGGCCAAGGAAGACCGTGTTCCCTGAGAGAGCTCCCGGGGCCCCACCTCTTGGCTTTGGTGGCGGGTGGCTGGGGGAACTTGTGGTTTCTCTTTCTCCCTCCCTCTCCCTCCTCCTCCCTCTCTCCCCAAGCTTTTGTCTGTCTGGGCCCGGGGGCGCCGGCCCGCCCGCTTTGCTGCTTGCAACGCTCCCTTGAGACACGGCCTCCTCCCGCTTCCGAGCCGAGGGGCCCAGGATTCCCCCATGGGGACACTTTTGTCTCTGCTTGTCTCTCTCGGCAGGTGCGTGGAGAACCGCGACGGAGGAGTGGGGGACCGAGGACTGGAATGAAGATGTAGGTACACCCCCACACCCTCCGCTCCTCTCGGCTCACCCTCGAGCTTGCAAACGCGTTTTGTCTTTTACGTTTTGGACTGCCGCTCCCAGAATCCCCCAAACCAGTGCAGCTGAAGGGGCTTGTAGTCCGAAAGCGTCATTTTTGCCCCCCAAGTGCTGCTCCTTCTCTGCCGTTATGTGGGCATGGAGGCTCCTCTACCTGACTGCTGTCTTCCTTCCTTCCTTCTAGCTTTCAGAAACCAAGATCTTCACCGCGTCCAACGTCTCTTCCGTGCCTCTGCCGACGGAAAATGTGACCATCACCGCTGGGCAGAGGTGATCCGTTTGCATCTGCTTCCGTGTAGGAATAAGCCTTTGGACAAGGAGCCGGGAGGAACGGCTTTATGATCTCTGCCCACCCCCTTCCCTAATGGTGTAAAACCTGCTAAACCCAGGGTTTGACGTCCAGAATCCATTAGGCCAATCTCTGTTAGTGTGCTCTGTTTCTGTACGTCTGCTGTGGCAGTAGAGGATCAAGGGCGCTTTTACATCACAAGCTCAGAGCCTCTCCCAGCCTGTGATGAACCCTCCACAGGTCTCGAGGGGTTCTGGGTCTCGAGGGCTGTGGCTCTCTTAAGGCCCTGAGGAACTTGGACCCGCTGCTGCTGGTGTGTCTGTGTGTGTATGTGTGTGTGCTACTGTGGGTCCTCTGATGTTCTTGGGCGACAACTCCCGGAAGCCTTCCCCATGAGCTGCGTTGGCCGGGAATTCCGGGAGTTGCCCTCCGAGTACCTCCGGAAACCCAAGGTTGGGAGTCACGTCTCTAGAGGTGCACCTTGGGTGCAGACATGGTGCCCGTCTTCCCCTCTCCGTCTTCCTGGTTGTGTGGTGCTCAGGACCCCCCTGATTCTCTCCTTGCAAAGCATTCGTTGCCTCCTTGCCTTGGCTGATCTTGGCGATCTTTCCCACCTTCCCAGAATCGATCTGGCCGTGCTCTTAGGAAAGACCCCGTCTTCTCTGGAGAACGAGTCCCCCAGCCTGGATTCCTCGCAGGCGCCCGCCCTCAGCCAGCCGCTGGTGTTCAGCAACTCCAAGCAGAACACCATCGCCCAGCCGACTTCGGGGAGCACCTTCTCCCACCACGGCATGGTAAGCAAACCCCGCTTCCCACTCCTCTTGCAAAAGGGTCTTATTGCCCAGTTAATGCCATGCAGAAAGAAGATCTCTCTCTCTCCCAAAATTACTTAGCAAGATGTGACTTAACTTAGAAATGCCTTACGCTCTGCTATGCCATGCTGTTATAATATTTAAGAACGTTTAACCAAACAGGGTTTAAGCAACATTATAAAGCGACGGATGCGAGAGTTCATGTCTTCTTTTTCAAACATTATTTTTAGACCTTAAGAACTTTGCTTTGTTTCATCCTTGATCTGTTTCCGTTCTCTTATCGTGACGGGTTGAACAAGGGAGGTGGGGGAGAGGGATTTAGTGGAGATTCGAACTCGGTTCTGCTTCCCAAAGCCCCACTGAGTTGGCTTTCCCTTCTCTCCCTTCCAGGTGAGCATTCTGGGGAAGGGGTTCAGCGACGTCGGGGAGGCCAAGAGCAGCGGCACTGCTGCCGCCGCCGCCACCACCACGACCACCACCGGCTCGCAGTTCCTGGAGCAGTTCAAGACCGCTCAAGCCCTGGCCCAGCTGGCAGCGCAGCACCCCCAGCCTTCCGGGAGCGGCAGCGTGGCGGCCTCCTGGGAGATGGGCGCCGGGAGCCAGCCCTCGCCTCTCGTGCAGTACGGTAAGGGGGCCGCTTTCCCAAAGATCCTGCCTCTCTGGCCCTCGGTTTGATTCTGATCCTGGCTCGTTTGGGTGCCCTTCACTCTCACCCCGGGGGCTTCCAAACCGGGCTCCATGGGTCTCCCGGGAATCCTCCCCCCCCCGGGGGGGCAGCCCCAGGAAAAGGGACAGAACCTAGAGGTATGAAGCTGTGAAACAGGAACCGGAAGGGAAGGTTGTGTGCCTGCCTCTCCTTGCCCCCATCTCTGTGGCCTCGTGAGTTTCCTGCACTGGGATCTGGAAGGATGTGGGTCACCCGGGATGTTCGGCGGGAGGGGGGATGGGATGGCTTGGGAGGGATGTTAAGATCTTGCCCCCATGGCCCCCTCCAGTCAAGGGGAGCCCTGACCAGGATGGGGTGGGGGGCACTCCCTTTGTGCCTGAGGGGGTAAAGTCATTTTTTAAAAAAAAAATAATCCCAGCCTAGTTTGAGATGGAAGGGGCATACCAGTAGACCTTTTCTGGCTTCCACGTAGCCATAAGAGGGGGACAGCGTATGCCACAGCAAAGATTGGGGCCGTTGGCAGAATGGGTCATGGCGCTCTGTAGCCAGACCAGCTGGTCATGGCGCTCAGACATATATTTTGTTTATCCCATTGATTACATTTCTATGCCGCCCATCTAGCGACCGGGCGCTAGCTACCCCTGGCGGCAAACGACAGTTTAAAAGGCGCAGCGGCATCAGATGTGTTATCCCCGGCTTCCCCTCCACTTCCCCTTTTCTCTCGGATAAAGTACAGATTTTTTGAAGAAGGGCCACCTCTTTTGTTGGCTGGTGAAAACATTTTTATGCCCACCAATCTTACCGAAAGAAAGAAAGGAAAGGAAAGATAGTGACAGATTATTGCAGGCGATGCCGAAACCTTAATACTGTATCTTAAGAAATGCAACTTGTAGTGTAGGCTGACTTTCCGATTATGGTGGGGTTTGGAGACATGCTCAGGTCATACAGCGCTCACATCATGTTTTGCCGTCCGTTGAAATTTCCTGCTGAAATTTATTTATTTATTTGACTTCTGTACCACCCATCTTGGCCACCCGGGCCCCTCTGGGCAGTTTACCCATGAAACAAACCTATCTTCAAACAACATGAAGGTTGTAGTTACGAAATCAAAGTTAGCCACAAACACACCAACAAGATTTAAGGGGTAGGAATTAAACTGGTGTAAAAGCAAGGCAGCAGGGCTGATAATAAGAATGTTAAGACCACCGCTACATTAGGAGATCCTGCAAAGACCTGTCGAAAAAACCCCACGTTTTTAGCAGTCGCTTGAACTTCCATTCTGTGTAAGCATTTGCAGTCAAACTCATGAAACCCATAAACCGCCTGAATGGGCTTGTCAGCATGTTGTGTGCTTTGTGTATGGTTCAAACTGGTTAAGGTTCAACTAAAGCGGAACCTCACTTATTTGAAAACATCCTGCTTTGAATTTCCAAAGGGGAACAGGATGCGCCAACGGATTGGGACAGCCGTCCAGTGCTTCGCGCTTAAAACTGCGCTGGGGCACGGCTGCCAAGAGGAGCCGATACCCCAGGCTCAACACCCCTTTCCCTCTCCTCTCTTTCTGCCCCCCCCAGACCTGAAGAACCCGCCGGAGACGGCCGTGCACACCCCCTTCGCCAAGCGCCAGGCCTTCCCGCCGGCCTCCGCCATGATGGAAGTGTTCCTGCAGGAGAAGCCGCCAGCCGGGGCGGGTCCCGTCTCGGCCGCCCCGCCGCCTCCTTCCTCCCCCCTGGCCAGCAAAACCAACCCCGTCCCCCAGATGTCTCCGGGCTCCTCCGATAACCAGTCCTCCAGCCCTCAGCCAGCCCAGCAGAAGTTGAAGCAGCAGAAGAAGAAAACCTCCTTGACGTCAAAGGTACAGGGTTAGGGTCGGGCTCGAGAGACGGTGGGAGAACCACAGGCCGGCTGGCCTGGATTGCAACCAGCTCCACGGCAGTGTGCAAACTTCAGGGTCCTGCAGAGCTTTGAATCAGGCTCAGCGGGAACCGGAGAGGGATTGGGAGAGAAGGGCTGGCCACCATCTCAAGCTGCGAGGACCGTAGGGGGCTTTCAGGATGGGGCAGTGCGGGCGGCGTTGGAAGACGACGTGGTGGTGGTGGTGGTCGGCACCTTCGTGCCCTACTCGGGGCTCAGCCGGACTCCCTTGGTGGCCCTCAGATTCCCGCCCTGGCCGTGGAGATGCCCGGATCGGCAGATATTTCGGGGCTGAACTTGCAGTTCGGAGCTTTGCAATTTGGCTCGGAGCCCGTCCTCTCGGAGTACGAATCGACGCCGGCCACGAGCGCCTCCGTGAGCCAGTCTCCGGGCAGCCTGTACACAAGTCCTGCAAGGTAAATCTAACACACACACACACACACACCGCGGGGTGTGTGTGTGGCATTTGGTGTGGGCTGCGGGGCAGGGAATCTCTCTCTGCTTGAGAGAGAGAGAGAGAGGACCTGTGTTCTTGGACTGCAACTCCCAGAAGCCCTTTCTCTGTTCAAGAGAGAGAGAGAGGACTTGTGTTCTTGGACTGCAACTCCCAGAAGCCTTTTCACCGCGAGCTGTGCGGGCCAGGATTTCTGGGAGTGGTTGCCCAAGAACATCTGGGGTACCCGAGGCTTGGAAGCCATTGGCTTATAGGCTTCCAAAAGCTTCTTGTCCGCCCCCCCCAAGCCCCAGAAGAAGCCTCACACTCAGGTCTGCAGATTGAGGGGAATCCTCCCCCCCTTGCTCTTGTAACGAGGAGAATGGGAGAATCTGGCCGGAGAGACCTGGCTTCAAGGCCTTGCGCAAAAGCCACCAGGCTCGCTTGGCCAGGTGGAGAAAAAGGACTTCTAAAAAAATTAGATTGATTTCAATATTTAATTTTTTTTTTTAAATCTTTTTTAAAAAAATTAAAAATCTCATTTTTAAATTTTAAGTGGTGGCTTAAATCAGATTTGTGAGCATGGTGGATGTGATTTAAAATAAATGGAATGTAAAATCAAATTGCCTACCGGGTGGATGTGGTTTAAATCAACTGGATTTAAATCGGATCCACCTTGGTCGCTGGCTCTCTTGGCACCCGTCAGCTCTGGGTGAGCCAATGCGGCCCTTTAGATGTTACCAGACTATGGCTCCCATCATCCCTGGCCAACCGGGCCCGAGGAGAGGGATGAGTGGAGTTGTAGTTAAAAACCTCTGGAGGGACACATCGTTGGCAAACCCTGGATTAACTCTTCCCTGCACACCCTTGCTCTGCTTGTTGGTCCATTTCTCTCCCTCTCTCTTGGCAACACCTCCTTCACGGGGTTGCTGGAAGGATAAAACAAGGGAAAGCGTCCCGTATTTTTTTCTTTTGGGGACAAGCGGGACCCTTCGCGTCGTGCTCTTAAAGGTCGCTTTGGGGGCGGCTCGGAACCGGGGCGGCCATAGGTCTCTCCAGACACCTGCCGGCTTTCCCGAAGGTCCTCTTTTGCTTCTGTGTCGCCCCCCTCAGCGAGTCTCTGTCCACGATTTCGTCCAACAAGAGTCAGGAGTCGGGTTTTCAGAGCAGCACCGTGCCTACAGCAACATATACCTCCCAGAACAGCGCTCAGGGACCCCTGTACGAGCAGAGATCCACTCAGACCCGGCGGTACCCGAACTCCATTTCCTCGTCGCCCCAGAAAGACTTGACCCAGGCCAAGGTGGGTCGCATCGCCGCGAGCTTCGTCCCAGTCTGTGCCGGAGGCTGGTTTGGTCTGCAAGGGAAGGGGGTGGGGAGCTTGGGATGGCGCAGGTGGAGGGCCCTCTGCCCACGCTCACGGCTGGCTTTGGAAGCCTTCGCAGTTTCAGATCCACACTCTGAGAATCCTGCAGCCCCCAAAGCCACAACGGGTTGGAGGTTTCTGGAAACTGTGGTTTCCCTCTGACAGGGAGTTAGCTCTCCTTGCCATTTTTCCTCCTGCAAACTCAGAGAGTAGCAAATCCATGCTGCATCCGGAGACATCGTAACCGGCGAAGGGTGGCGGTCATGAAATGTGTGCCGGTGGAACTCCCTGCCGCCAAAAGCTGGCAGCTTGCAGCCTGGAAAACAATCCTCACCAATAACCTTAGAACCGCAGAACTGGAAGCGACCTTGTGGGTCATCCAGCTCAGCCCCTGCCAAGGATCCCGGGGGTGGGGGGGGAGAAGAATTCGAACTCCCAACCAACCACTGGCTCCAGAGACCACCCAACCCCCCCGCACTATCCAGCAGTTGTGGTGGTGGTGGTTAAAAATGTACCAGTGGATTGTCCGCTGATGGCAACCAGCTTCAGGAGCTTTAAAAGGGGAATCGGAGGAGGAGGAGGCCCAGTCCTTCAGAGCTTGCTGTACTGTAACTGGCATTCTTCGTTATGGACGTTCTGGACATCATGAGGGCTGACACCTCTTTTCCCTCTCTGTCCTTAGAACGGCTTCAGCTCGGTGCCCCCCACGCAGTTGCAGACCGCACAGACGGCTGAAGGTAAGTGACCTGAAAACGGTTATGGCCTCCCTGGGCTGCGCTCTGAGGCGGATCCGGAAGGCATACGTGTGCCAGACTCTGGTGGCCGAGTTTTGCCCGTGGGTCTAGCTTCACGCACTTGCAGAAATCCCACCCACCCCCCAGGGCTCGTTCCATCACCAGCAAGACGCTGCTGCAAGACAGCGCTGTTGGTCTCCCCTAGGGATTTGGCCACAGGGTGAAGACGCCCTGATGCTAAGGCAAGAGGAACAGGTACTGGAGCTGTGTGTCTGTTCAGAGAGATAGCCGGCGGAAGGATGATGGGAGTCGACATCCACCCTCTGCTTAAGGTGGACGGATGCAGGGCAGACCCAGGAACTTTTTAACTCACATCTGGTCCCCTGCGTTCAGTCTCCTCCTTTCCTCCCCCCCCAGGTCCCGCCGGCCCTGCTGTGAAATCCGACTCCCCCTCGGCCCCCAGCATCAGCACCCCTCTCGCCGACGCGGTGTCGGCGGCCTCGTTGCTCACCACGGCCACCCAGCACCCCTCTGTGCTCAGCGGCCTGAACCACACCGAGGAGCTCCCCAGCACGGCCACCACGCAACACAGCAGGTAAGGGGTGACCTCGTGCCCGTCCGAGAAGGTGACAGCCTGGCCTTTAGGCTCCTCCGTCACATCAGGGGCTTTTGCTGAGTTTTGGGCTGCAGGAGAGCTGAACTAGCGCCACCTCCCAAAACTCTCGGTTAGCCCAGAAAGGAGACCAACACCACGTACACGGAACGCCGAGGCAGAAAAAGCAAATTGGTTCTGTGCCAATCTTATAATTCTGTGGCTTGTGGTATGCATTATGCAAAATATATCTGTACAGAATGGCTGTTTGTTTGTTTTGGCAAAAAAAGGGGGAGATGGAATTCCCAAAGGGCTGATGCTTCTCCTTCTGTCCCTGAAAAACCTTTCCACGGTCTCAGTTTGGCATCCAGGATCTTACCAAGCCTGGTCTGTTTTCTTTCGGCCAAGCCTGTGGTTTTAAACTTATTGACTGGGAAAAAAAGTTAGCTGAGTTCCCTTGGCTCCATGCAACCTGGGAGGCGCTGTTCCTTCCTCGGCTTCAACCACCCCTCTTAGCTCTGGATGGAGGCAGCCGATGCAGTCTGTAACTCAGTCGCGGCATGCATGTGTCTCTGCGCCTTGGCATTTTACATTGCAACCCGGCCGGCCGAAAGAGTGACTGTGCCAGAAATGCAAGCATGCCTTGTTGACCGGTCTTGCCCTCTCTTCCTTGCAGCACATTACCCGCCCCACAGAACAGTCTCTCCTCCTCAACTTCCACCGGACGCACGTCAACCTCCACGCTCTTGGTGAGTAGGAGCCCAGAGGGTTTAAAGGAAGGCAAGGCTTTTTTAAAAAAATATCTTGTTCATACCTGTGAAGTGACGCTCAAGACTGCTTTCGTAGGCCCCTCTGCCCCACATAGGATGGCTGCTTGATAAGCAGGTGAAAAATATTCCTGCGAGGAAGATCAAAGAATGGCTTCTTTCTCTGTTTTGGGCTCCCCACCCCCTTTTCTGGATAGTTTTTGAAGCCTGCAAACCGCATGTATCCTTCCAGTCCCTGCCTAGCTTGGACCTTAGCCACCAGGAGGCAGTGGATGTGCAAAATTGAACCCAGAGCCGCCACCAGAGGCTGCCAGACCAAGCCTGTGTCTGCTTGGGCTCCGGGCATCCACTCAGGGAGGGGGCATCAGCCTTGCTGATCTGGGTGGCTCGCGGTACCCAAGCCGCCCTCCGTTCCCCTCTCTCATCCCCCTGCTCCCCGTTTTCCGCAGCACACCAGCGTCGAGAGCGAAGCCGGCCTCCATTCTTCCTCAAGCACTTTCTCCACCTCCTCCAGTACCGTCTCGGCCGCCCCGCCTGTGGTCAGCGCCTCCTCCAGCCTCAGCAACGTCAGCAGCCTGGGCTTGAGCCTCAGCAGTAACTCCACGGTGACGGCCACCACCCGCAGCTCCGTCGCCACGACGTCAGGTGCGCCTCCGAAGCCCTGGCTCATGCTCGGCAGAGGGGGTGGGGGGGCGTCAGCTTTGGGGCCCATTTTTTCCGCCTGCCCAAAGTGCCATCGCCCCCCCCAAAAAAAACTGGGGGAAAAATTAAAATGGGGTGAAGGACCTCCAGCCTTTAGGAGCTGCTCCTTGCGTCGCCTGTGAGCATCGGCAGAGCCGATGGGCTTCAGAGTCCAGGAATATCAGGGTGTCCGACAACTCCCCCTTTCCCCCACTGCTGCTACAAATGGGGGTTTCCGTAGAGCTCGGTCTTGTCCACCGTTCCTGGCAGTAAGAGCAATCCAGAAAGGCACTTTTCCTAGCCTTCCCTTGTGGCTCTCTGTCTGTCTCTCTCTCTCTGTGTGTCCGTGTCCCCATACCTAAAACCCGGGATGAGGTTTTTGGATTTCCTGCTGTAATGCTTCCTCTCTCTCCATCTAGGAAAGGCTCCTCCCAATTTGCCTCCCGGCGTGCCGCCCTTGCTGCCTAACCCCTACATCATGGCCCCGGGGCTGCTGCACGCCTACCCGGTGAGTAGCGTTGCCTTTGCCGGGACGGATCCATCCACGCTAGTAGATCCTGCCCGGCTGTTGACCCATGGCGTGGCAGGAGGGACAGAGCGTGTGACAGCAAGCCAGAGTCGGGACCCAGCGCCGACGGAGCAGCTCTCTACCCTGCTTCTCTTTGCAACGTTCCGCTCGGACAAAAAACGGTCCCACTCTTCTCTCCCCCCCCTTTTCCTGCAGTGGAGGAGAGCCGCCTGCCTCACCGACCCCGGAGTAGCCTCTGTCCTTTGCAGAGAAAGGAAATTCACAGCAAGGCTGGGCTCTCTTTTTCAATTCTTTCTTGCCTCTCTCTGAAATAAGGCAGCTTCTCCACAGGATTTAAGTGATTCCGCTCGGACAAAAAACGGTCCCACTCTTCTCTCCCCCCCCTTTTCCTGCAGTGGAGGAGAGCCGCCTGCCTCACCGACCCCGGAGTAGCCTCTGTCCTTTGCAGAGAAAGGAAATTCACAGCAAGGCTGGGCTCTCTTTTTCAATTCTTTCTTGCCTCTCTCTGAAATAAGGCAGCTTCTCCACAGGATTTAAGTGAAGTGAAATAAGTTCAGTCTTGCCTCTCTCTGAAATAAGAGCTCAAGGCAGCTTCTCCACAGGATTTAAGTGAAATACGTACAGATGAAACTCTGCAAATGTGTTAAAACCCAGTCATGGTGAAGCAAATGTAGTTGAATGGGCAGACAGTTTAGAAGTTTAATACATTAATACACTAATAAGGATATTAATACGGCAAATACAGCAGCTTCTCATTAAAAGCCTTTTCGTCAGCCACTGGCCAGTTAATACATTAATACACTAATAAGGATGTTAATACGGCAAATACAGCAGCTTCTTATTAAAAGCCTTTTCGTCAGCCACTGGCCAGTTGCTAAAAGCTTGCCCGAATTAGGTCTTTGCCTGCCGGTGGAAAGACGGAAGGGAAGGACTGACTGAGCAGGGTGTTATGCAGTTCCTTTGTCTTCCCGGGAGGGATGTTGGACCCTGTGCTGTGCTGAGTTTTCTGAATAATCTGAATTTCACAACCTATCTAAAGGGGACTTGTAGGGTGGCTTTTTCCCCTAAAGCTGCCAGTTGCAGGGCGGGACAGGCCGGGAACAATATATTTCCCTGAATACTACCTGCCCTTCCTCCTGGAATCTTGCCTTTTTATGACTTTGCCAGTTCTTCTCCGGTTCCTTTGCCTCGTTAATTTAAGCGTGTGTTCAAAACATGCTCCTTTGTTGTTCACGCGGGAGGCCAGAGGACGTGGTGAGCCAAGGGCTGGCCCCAGCATACTGCTTAAAAAATGGGCTGCTTTTATAGAGTGCCGTGCATGTTTCACAGCAAATGGGCTGGACTTCTCCTGATTCTGTTTTCTTCTGTTTCAGCCACAGGTTTATGGCTACGACGACCTACAGATGCTTCAGACAAGGTTTCCCTTGGTGAGTTCAATCTGGCCTTCCCTTCTCCTTCAAAAACAGTTGATTAAATTCCAGTCAACGTGCTTTTTTTAAAACTCTGATTTGTTAACACTCAGTAATTGTGTTCTCTTGCACAACATGGACTCGATTTGTAAAAAAGGATTGAAATACTGAAATATACAAGCAATTATTTATAATCGGATGCCATCCGTGGCATGTTTATTGACGTTTCAGCGGTACTTGATCGTTGACTCATAAAAAGAGGCCAGTTCTTTGACAGGATTGCTGCTTTTTTCATCTAATAGTTTTTGCTGCTTTTTTGGTCTGTAGTCTTTTTTTGGTCGATGGTCTTTTGGCAGTACAACGAGCGAGGAGGCTCTTATAATTGTTGTAGATCACAAGCTGAATAGGAGCCAACAGCGCGATGTGGTTACAAAAAAAGGCAAATGCTCTTTTAGGCTGCATTAACGGAAATATAGTTCCAAATCCTGCGAGGTGCCAGTCCCCCTTTATTCAGTACTGGTTAGGCCTCACCTTGACTACTGTGTCCCGTTCTGGACACCGCACTTCAAGAAGGGATGCCAGCAAGTTCGAGGAGGGCGGCAAGGATGATCAGGGAGCTGGAAACCAAGCCCTGGGAGGAAAGACGGAGGAAAGAACTGGGCTTGTTTAGCCCGGAGAAAAGAAGACCGAGGGGAGATAGGAGAGCACTCTTCAAATCCTTGAAAGGGAGTCCTACAGAGGAGGGGGCAGGATCTGTTCTCGGCCGTCCCAGAGCGCAGGGCACGCAACCATGGGCTCAAGTGAAGGGAAGCCAGATTTCGGCTGAAGTTCTGGAAAAACTTCCGAACTCTTAGAGCAGTACGACAGTGGGACCCATGCTTTCTGGAGGTGTTGAGCGCTCCAACGCTGGAGGGATGGCTACACTGCCAGCGGAGAATTCTGGGAGATGCAGTCCGAAAACACAAATGTGCACATGTAAAGCGATTCTATGATTCTGAGGTTGTGGGTTGTTGTTGTTTTTTTTAAGCGGTTTGACAGTTCGGCACACCCGGTCTCTCCTGCAGCTTTTTCTCTCCACCGGCAAAGCCCCGTCCCAATAACTACTTCTTCCGTCTCTCTCTCTCTCTCTCTTCCAGGACTACTACAGTATCCCGTTCCCCACGCCGACCACCCAGCTGACCGGGAGGGATGCGAGCTTAAGCAGCAACCCTTACTCTGGTAGGGAGACGGCCGTGGCCTGGTTAGAAGGAGGTTGGCTTAAATCTGCTCTCTTTTTTTCTTTGTGCGCGCCCGGAAGCGGCCCCCTTAGTGATGAGGTCCCTTCCCTCCCTCCCTCCCTCCCTCCTCGTGAAAGCTTGCACTCTAAACTTGTCGCTGTCTCGGGTGGAGAACATTTGCTTCCCTTCTTGCTTTGAAGGAAAGAGCAGGAGGCTGCGCCCTTCTTGATGCCCTCTGGATGTTGTGGACTACAAACCCCATCAGTCGCCCCCCCAGCCACCAACAGCACTGGCTGAAAGTAGTGGGAGGTTTTCCGATTGACAACAGGGGGCCTGGTCTGAGAAAAGGACAGAGTGTCTGGAATCTTGAGCGAGGCTCAGTGACAAGGGCAGGTTCCCCTCGTGCCATTTGTGGTCCTTTCATTGCACCCCTACGTCAGGCATTGCTAAAAACCGCTTTAAGGCCTTTGCAGGAAGTGCTCCCCTCTCTGTGCCCTCCCATCCTGTTTACTAAGATCTAAGAGATCTTGTATCTGGAGGCAGAGCCAGAGGTTGGGCGTTCGATCCTCCCCCCCGCCTGACTGGGCTTCCCAGGAGAAGAGCCAGCCTAGGGAGCCTTGGGACCAGTGGCACAGAGTCCCAGGGCTCCCCCTAGAGGAAGGGAAGGGGCAAGCACACCTGAGGATTCTCTCCCTGGGAAACTTTGGAAAACTCATTCAGAATTGACTTGGCAACGCACGATGGTGATGGTGATGGGTGGTTGTGGATGCTGCTTTAAATGGAGGCCGCAAGCGTAGCCAGTGGGTTGGAGGGTGTGGTGTTCCTGCGTTGCCCTGGGGCATCTCCCAGCTCGATGGACAAAGAGATTGTGAGCATTCACTACGGGGGGGTGGTGGTGTTGTGTGTGGGTATAGGAAGGGAATGCTGATGGTTGCCGTCGAGACTGGCCGCAGAGGCTGCCTGGACTCTTCTGGGCGGGGCCAGGCCGAGTGGGTCATCCCCGGCGCCCTCGCCTGACTCCCCGCCTGCTGTCCAAGCACACCTGAGGATTCTCTCCCTGGGAAACTTTGGAAAACTCATTCAGAATTGACTTGGCAACGCACGATGGTGATGGTGATGGGTGGTTGTGGATGCTGCTTTAAATGGAGGCCGCAAGCGTAGCCAGTGGGTTGGAGGGTGTGGTGTTCCTGCGTTGCCCTGGGGCATCTCCCAGCTCGATGGACAAAGAGATTGTGAGCATTCACTACGGGGGGGTGGTGGTGTTGTGTGTGCGTGTTCCGGGGAGGGTACGGGAAGGGAATGCTGATGGTTGCCATCAAGACTGGCCGCAGAGGCCGCCTGGACCCTTCTGGGCAGGGCCAGGCCGTGTGGGTCATCCCCAGCGCCCTCGCCTGACTCCCCGCCTGCTGTCCTTCGTCTCCCAGGCGACCTCACCAAGTTCGGCCGAGGCGACGCCTCCTCCCCGGCGCCGGCGACCACCCTGGCGCAGCCTCAGCAGAACCAGACCCAGACTCACCACACCACCCAGCAGACGTTCCTGAACCCAGCCTTGCCGCCTGGCTACAGCTACACCAGCCTGCCCTACTACACCGGAGTCCCCGGGCTGCCCAGCACCTTTCAGTACGGACCAGCGGTGTTCCCCGTGAGTGCCGGCCGGCGGTAGGGTGGGGGTGGGTCCAGGCCCTTCCTCTGCCCCAAAGACCCCCACCCGCTGTCGCTGCTGCTGACGCCCCAGCCCTTTGCTTCCTCTCCCCCACCTTCCTAGGTGGCTCCTACTACTTCCAAGCAACACAGCGTGAATGTCAGCGTGAACGCCTCGGCCACTCCCTTCCAGCAGCCCAGCGGTTATGGGTCCCATGGATACAGCACGGGTGAGTGGCACGGCCCCAACGTGGCTTCTCATGAAACGTGGCTGAGTTAAAAAGGGCCACCCCTGAATTGTGGGGCCTTCTTTTCAAGCAGAGGGTTAAACAGTTCAGTGGGGGTTGGCGATGCGCTTCGAGCTGCGTGGGCTGCCAAGAAATGGAAGCCAAAGCGACCGGCTTGGACGCCCCTTTGCGGCTTGAAAAACCGGTACGTCTTGCGTGACTTGAGTCAAACGAGGGGCAGACCGTTTGTCGACAGGGAACCGCAGCTTTGGGGTGCTCCCAAGAGTGCAAAACGTTTCCTGTTGCTCGGTGGAAACCGTTTTAGACACGAGGCCTGAGGTGTTGGAAAAACAACCCACCCACCCATCCCATCGTAGCACTTTCCCTCCCGTTGCCCGTAGCATCAAGGGTAATGGTCTGTAGATACCGTCTGCTCCCTCTCTCGGACTGTTAAAAGGCTGGAGAGGTCCGATGAGGCAGAGATTGAGAATGGAGAATACAGCAAGACAGCGGCATTGGTGGTTCCAAGCCCTCTCCCCGCGGATGCTGAAAACTGTGGATATGCCAATCCTCTAGTTCCCTATAGTGGCTGGTGCCAGTAATACAACTTGGAAACATGTGTTTCTGGATTTTTTTTAAATTTATTGTTTTCAGGCAGCGGATAAATGAAACCACGGGTACTGATCCTGTGGGTATGACGTTCTTGCTGTAAATGATTGTTGCGTTGGGAAGTGGGAAGAAGGGCTGGTGGCGGAAGTGGTTTGTGCGTTGTCTTCCGTGTCGGATCGGTGCTTTCTCTACTCACCTGGCTTTGTTTTTCTTTTCCAGGCGTGTCGGTAACATCCAGTAACACGGGAGTGCCAGACATCTCTGGCTCAGTTTACTCCAAAACACAGGTGGGTCCTTGTGCCGGAGAAGCTGGGTGGGGGGGAAGCGGGTCGCAAAAGCTGGGAACCGATTTTAGAAACAGGGAAATACCTGGGTGAAGAAACAGAGAATCACAGAATTATGGAATTGGAAAGGGCCTCGAAGGCCATTGAACCCCCTGCTCAATGCAGGTGTCGAAGTCAAACACATCTGGCAGGAGGTTTTCCCGTTTTCCCTTGAATGTCTCCAGCGTTGGAGCGCTCACCAACTCCTGAGGCTGTGGGTTCCCTCATTGTACTGCTCTAACAGTTAAGAATTTTTTGGGTTCCACTGTCCTACTGCCCTAACAGTTAAGAATTTTTTTCCTGATAGCCAGCCAAAATCTGGCTTCCTGTCACTTGAGCCCATTGTTGCATGTCCTGCGCTCTGGGATGATCGAGAACAGGATCCTGCCCCTGCTCTGTAGGACTCCCTTTTCAATTACAGTGGTGCCTCGCTTAACGAGCGCACCGTAGAACGACGAATCCGCATAGCGAGGGGATTTTTTCGATCGCAACTGCAATCGCAAAGCGATGGCCCCAATGGGCGAAACTCGCATAGCGAAGGTCAGTAAGCATTTTGCTTACCGACCTTCACTTTGCGACCCGCAGATCAGCTGTTCGGCGGCTCCAAAATGGCCGCAGGAAGCCCAGAAATGGCCGCATGCAGCGTTTTTGCGGCCTCAGTAAGCGAGGGGAGGGCGCGAAAATGGCTGCCGGCCATAGGAAAACATCACTGAACGGTGAGTTTTCGGCCCATTTGGAACCAATGGGTTTTCTTGATCCGTTCAGCGATGTTTTCACATAGCGAGGGTTAATCCGGAATGGATTAACCTCGCTATGCGAGGCACCACTGTATTTGTAAAGCGCTCTCCTGTCTCCCCTAAATCTTCTTTTCTCAAAAACACCTGTTTTCATCAGGATGTGACCCTTATAGATCGGGCACTGCCCTCCGCGTGTTTGCACTGGTGGTGTTGCATGACCGGAGGGGCCTTCAGCACAAGAAGGCAACAGACGGATATGGGCCATATGGTGTGTGTGTGTGTGTGGGGGGTCTGTCCGTCGCCCTCAAACGTTCTCTTCCAGCTGAGAAGCTGGCCTTTGGTGGTCACTGTCCAACATATTTGGTTCACTAGAATTAGTATATCTCAAAGCAAGACAGGGATCTGTCATTCACTTTTTTGGGGACTCCAACTCCCAGAATTAAATCTACAACTACACTATAACTACATTTTGCTCACTTGGAGAAGGACCAACCTTGAAGTCTGCATGGCTGTCTCAGGCCTATACCATCTACTCTTAATATTGTGAGGGTTCGTTTGGAAGGGCTGTTTTCACCTTTTCATAGTCCCCCGCGTCCTCCGGGTCTAACGTGTCCACTAACTCTTGGGGTGTTGCATGAGGGGCCTTCAGCACAAGAAGGCAACAGACGGACATGCGGCATCTGGTGTGTTTGTGTGTGTGTGGGGGGGATCTGTCCGTCGCCCTCAAACGTTCTCTTCTGCCCCCAGCAGCAGTCTTTCGAGAAGCAGGGATTCCACACCGGGACCCCGGCGGCCTCGTTCAACCTGCCCTCGGCTCTGGGCAGCGGCGGCCCCATCAACCCCGCCACGGCGGCGGCCTATCCGCCCGCCCATGCGGCATCTGGTGTGTTTGTGTGTGTGTGGGGGGGATCTGTCCGTCGCCCTCAAACGTTCTCTTCTGCCCCCAGCAGCAGTCTTTCGAGAAGCAGGGATTCCACACCGGGACCCCGGCGGCCTCGTTCAACCTGCCCTCGGCTCTGGGCAGCGGCGGCCCCATCAACCCCGCCACGGCGGCGGCCTATCCGCCCGCCCCGTTCATGCACATCCTGACCCCCCATCAGCAGGCCCACTCCCAGATCTTGCACCACCACCTGCAGCAGGATGGACAGGTAAGGACGGAGACCCGCCCCCCC